TGTAGAGCACAGTCTTCCAACTTTTGAAAGCTTATGTTTAAAATCTACCCACATTATTCTGCAGGTATTTATGTAGGTTATAGAGAAAATCACTGTGCCTGATATGAAGGTAAACCACTGTAAACTAATTTTAGCAACAATAAAACAATACAGCACATATATGCATTCTAAAGAGCTCTCCTTTAAAGCCCTTTATGAGGTTAAGGAGGATGAGTAGAGAACCAAAGTGGAAACAGTGGATCTCAACGTTTAATTGGGAAATTGTTCTAAGTTGTTGAAAACTTTCTTCCCAAAGGCAGTGAGAGTTAATAAAACTGATTGAGAAAACAAAAGGAAGCTCAATGCCCTATCGAGGAGCCAAGTGAATAATACTTGTTGGGTATATTACTATTAATATAATATTAAATGGGGCATTTTTGAGAATATTTTCCTCATTTGTAAGCTTGTTTGGGCATTGTCTTAAAGACCAGCTGAGGTAATTTATGCTTTGATGTTTTCATTTATCCAACTGAAGATTGTTTGATCTACTTTGAAGACATGGGACTGTAATGATCGTTACCAAGTCTATTTCTTATACAGTACATTGGCCTTTGAAAGGCCAACGTTAGGTCCCTAACTGAATTATTTTTTGTATTTCTATCTTTTGTAGTGATCTTTTTTAATGAGTATTTTCATTCTTGTTTTCCCACATCAAGACTAACTTTTCTCAAAAAATTTAGCCTAATAGAAAAAATAAATAAATAAAGAGAAATAACATGGCCCATGAGTCAGGAGATCTGATTTTTTGTTCTGTGTCCAAACTTAATTGGTGGACAATCTTTGCAAGTCTCTTAACATCTCCAACCTTGGTTTACTCAGCAATAACATGGGGATACTGACTACTTCATCTTTGCCTATCTATCTAAAATGATAAGACTGTGATGTTTTATGTGTAAGCTATATGCTGAGATCATTAGCACTGATTCAGCAGGAGGAAACTACACCAGTGAGGTTTATAAATAATGTATTCCACTTTATCTGGGATAGGTTAATTATATTTACTGAAGCATAGATCTATTAGTGGTAAAATGCAAATATTGTGGGATTATGATTATGTGTCTCAGCTATATTTCTTTTAAGCATATTATATTTTCAAGTTAAATAAAAGTCATTCGTTATGAATTAATACATTGAATTTTCTTATCAGGGCTTTTTAAATAACCAGGATTGTTAGCAGAAGAAAAAAAAAATGTTTGGAAAGACCTAAAAGGGAGAGAAAAGAAAAGGTAAAGACTCTCATGACCACTGCAGGTCTCAGGTTCCAGAGAATATTTGAGATCCAGACAATATCTATTAATGCTTATGGAGAAACCACTAGTACAAAGCCCAAGAATGTTTCACTCATTTGAAATTCTGTCCCTGTGAGCCTCCCACATAATTCAGGCTCTAGGCATATGTGTAATACCTGTTTCTAGAGACTCGTTTGACCTTATGGAGAAGGGTTTGCTCCAGGTATAGATGAAAAGACAAATTAGGGGCAAACAACAGTTCTACTTTCTCTTGACAGCAGTCCATTGACATCTTCTAGGTATTTTCAGTACAGTTTTGTGCTGAATGGTTCAAGAACTTAAGCATTAGTGGTCGGAGCATGAGTGTCACTGATTCTTTACAATCTTGTGAGAAAATACTGCTCTTTCTTCCCCAGAAACAACTTAAAATAGCAGAGGCTGGTGGGCTTTC